GATTGGAGTCCACCTGAGGCCAGTTCAATTGTTTGGACAGGATTTTGAAAGAAACACACCTGTCTATATAAGGTCCCGCAGTTGACAGTGCATCTCAGAGCAGAAACTATACCATGAAGTCCAAGGAACTGTCCGTAGATGATCTCAGAGATAGAATTGTGATGACGCATATATCTGGGGAAGGGTATAAAACAATTTCTAGAATGTTGAAAGCTTCCAAGAGCACAGTGGTCTCCATCATTGGGAAATGGAAAAAATATTAAAATAACCAGACTCTGCCTAGAGCTGGCCGTCCGACCAAACTGAGCAACCGGGCAAGGACCTTGGTCAGGGAGGTGACCAAGAACCCAATGACCACTCTGACAGAACTACAGAGTTCCTTGGCTGAGATGGGAGAACCTGCCAGAAAGACAACAGTCTCTACAGCACTTCACCAATCTGGGCTTTATGGGAGAGTGGCCAGACAGAAGCCATTCCAAAGAAAAAGGCACATGACGGCACGCCTGGAGTTTGAGAAAAGGCACGTGAAATACTGAGATCATAAGGCAAAACATTCTGTGGTCTGATGAGACAAAAACGTAACTATTTGGCTTGAATGCAAAGCACTATGTCTGCAGAAAACCAGGCACAGCTCATCACCCGTATAACACCATCCCTACCGTGAAGCGTTGTGGCAGCATCATGCTATGGGGATGCTTTTCAGCGGCAGGGAGACTGGTAAGGATAGAGGGAACAATGAATGGAGCCAAATAGAGGCAAATCCTTGATGAGAACCTGCTTCAGAGCGCAAACGACCTTAGACTGGGGCGAAGATTTACATTCCAACAGGACAATGACCCCAAGCATACAGCCAAAGCAACGCTGGATTGGCTTCTGAACAAGAATGTGAAGTCCTTGAGTAGCCCAGACTTAAATCCCATTGAAAATCTGTGGAAAGACTTGAAGATTGCTGTTCACCGCCGCTCGCCATCTAACTTAAGAGAACTTGAGAACATCTGTAAGGAAGAATGGGAGAAAATCCCCAAATCCAGATGTGCAAAGTTGATAGACATGCCCAAGATGAATCGAAGCTGTAATCGGCGCTCAAGGTGCTTCTACAAAGTATTGACTCAGGTGTGATATTTCTGTAATGAAATGTCTTGAATGAAAATGAATTACATTTTATTTTTGTGTCAAATCACTAGTTGGCAACCCATCCCTTATGGGATTAATTGACACATAAACATTACAATAATTCACTCTGATAATTCAGTGATAATTCTTCTTCCGGTGTTCTCTGCAGTGTGCATCGCAAAAAGAGTGAAAAACATTAAAGATAAAAATCTATACATAATAGTAAATAGGGTTAACCAAACAATAATTATATCCCTAGAATAGTAAAACATATATATACACAGTACATACATACATATAGATATATATACACATACATACATACAGTACCAGTCAAAAGTTTGGACACACCTACTCATTCAAGGGTTTTTCTTTATTTTTGCTATTTTCTACATTGTAGAATAATAGTGAAGACATCAAAACTATGAAATAGCACATATGTAATCATGTAGTAACCAAAAAATGTTAGACAAATCTAAATATATTTTATATTTGAGATTCTTCAAAGTAGCCACCCTTTGCCTTGATGACAGCTTTGCACACTCTTGGCATTCTCTCAACCACCTTCATGAGGTAGTCACCTGGAATGCATTTCAATTAACAGGTGTGCCTTGTTAAAAATTAATTTGTAGGATTTCTTTCCTTTTAATGTGTTTGAGCCAATCAGCTGTGTTGTGACAAGGTAGGGTTGGTATACAGAAGGTAACCCTATTTGGTAAAAGACCAAGTCCATATTATGGCAAGAACAGCTCAAATACAGTGGCTTGCGAAAGTATTCACCCCCCTTGGCATTTTTCCTATTTTGTTGCCTTACAACCTGGAATTAAAATGGATTTTTGGGGGGATTTGTATCATTTCATTTACACAACATGCCTACCACTTTGAAGATATTAAATATTTATTATTGTGAAACAAACAAGAAATAAGACCAAAAAAAACAGAACACTTGAGCGTGCATAACTATTCTTCACCCCCCCCCCATTTTTGCCCATTCTTCAAGGCAAAACTGCTCCAGCTCCTTCAAGTTGGATGGGTTCCGCTGGTGTACAGCAATCTTTAAGTCATACCACAGATTCTCAATTGGATTGAGGTCTGGGCTTTGACTAGGCCATTCCAAGATATTTAAATGTTTCCCCTTAAACCACTCGAGTGTTGCTTTAGCAGTATGCTTAGAGTCATTGTCCTGCTGGAAGGTGAACCTCCGTCCCAGTCTCAAATTTACATTACATTTACATCATTTAGCAGACGCTCTTATCCAGAGCGACATACAAATTGGTGCATTCAATTTATGATAGCAAGTGGGACAACCACTTTTTTTCTTCTTTTTTTTTATGGGGGGGGGGGGGGGGGGGGGGGCGGGTAGAAGGATGACTTTATACTATTCCAGGTATTCTTTAAAGAGGTAGGGTTTCAAGTGTCTCCGGAAAGTGGTCAGTGACTCCGCTGTCCTGGCGTCGTGGGGGACCTTGTTCCACCATTGGGGTGCCAGAGCAGCAAATAGCTTTGACTGGGCTGAACGGGAACTGTGCTTCTGTAGAGGTAGGGGAGCTAGCAGGCCAGAGGTGGATGAACGTAGTGCCCTCGTTTGGGTGTAGGGTCTGATCAGAGCCTGAAGGTAAGGAGGTGCCGTTCCCCTCACAGCTCCGTAGGCAAGCACCATGGTCCTGTAGTAGATGCGAGCCTCAACTGGAAGCCAGTGGAGTGTGCGGAGGAGCGGGGTGACATGAGAGAAAGTGGCTTTAGCAGCGGAAACAGAGGAAGAGAATGTAGAGAGGAGGGAGTGAAAATATGACAGGTCCGCAGGGAGTCTAGTTTTCCTCCATTTCCGCTCGGCTGCCCGGAGCCCTCTTCTGTGAGCTCGCAATGAGTCGTCAAGCCACGGAGCAGGAGGGGAGGACCGAGCCGGCCAGGAGGATAGGGGACATAGAGAGTCAAAGGATGCAGAAAGGGAGGAGAGGAGGGTTGAGGAGACAGAATCAGGAGATCGGAGGGAGAAGGATTTAGCAGAGGGAAGAGATGATAGGATGGAAGAGGAGAGAGTAGCGGGAGAGAGAGAGCGAAGGTTGCGATGGCACATTACCATCTGAGTAGGGGCAGAGTGAGTAGTGTTGGAGGAGAGCGAGAGAGAAAAGGATACAAAGTAGTGGTCGGAGACTTGGAGGGGAGTTGCAGTGAGATTAGTAGAAGAACAGCATCTAGTAAAGATGAGGTCAAGCGTATTGCCTGCCTTGTGAGTAGGTAGAGACGGTGAGAGGGTGAGGTCAAAAGAGGAAAGGAGTGGAAAGAAGGAGGCAGAGAGAAATGAGTCAAAGGCAGACGTAGGGAGGTTAAAGTCACCCAGAACTGTGAGTGGTGAGCCATCCTCAGGAAAGGAACTTTTCAAGGCGTCAAGCTCATTGATGAACTCTCCAAGGGAACCTGGAGGGCGATAAATGACAAGGATGTTAAGCTTGAATGGGCTAGTGACTGTGACAGCATGGAATTCAAATGAGAAGATAGACAGATGGGTCATGGGAAAAAGAGAGAATGTCCACTTGGGAGAGATGAGGATTCCTGTGCCACCGCCGCGCTGACCAGATGCTCTCAGGGTATGCGAGAACACATGGTTAGACGAGGAAAGAGCAGTAGGAGTAGCAGTGTTTTCTGTGGTAATCCATGTTTCCGTCAGCGCCAAGAAGTCGAGGGACTGGAGGGTAGCATAGGCTGAGATGAACTCTGCCTTGTTGGCCGCAGAACGGCAGTTCCAGAGGCTGCCAGAGACCTGGAACTCCACGTGGGTCGTGCGCGCAGGGACCACCAGATTAGAGTGGCAACAGCCACGTGGTGTGAAGCGTTTGTATGGCCTGTGCAGAGAGGAGAGAACAGGGATAGACAGACAAATAGTTGACAGGCTACAGAGAAAGGCTACAATAATGCAAAGAAGATCGGAATGAAATGAACTAAACATCTGAGAAAGCGAGAGACGGGGGCCTCCCTCACTTATGTTTCACTGAAACACTCAAATATAACTCTCCCAACTTTCACTTTATAAATTATAATTGTTGTAAACTACAGCGGTTCAAAATCTCTGGAAGACTGAAACTGGTTTCCCTCAAGAATTTTCCTGTATTTAGCACTACATCTGTACTTCTCCACAACTTTGTCCCTGACCTGTTTGGAGAGCTCCTTGGTCTTCATGGTGCCGCATGCTTGGTGGTACCCCTTGCTTAGTGGTGTTGCAGACTCTGGGGCCTTTCAGAACGGGTGTATGTACACTGAGATCATGTGACAGATGACACTTTGATTGCACACAGGTGGACTTTATTTAACTAATTATGTGACTTCTGTAGGTAATTGGTTGCACCATATCTTATTTAGGGGCTTCTTAGCAAAAGGGGTGAATACATATGCACGCACCACTTTTCCAGTATTTATTTTTTTGAAACAAGTTGTTTTTTTCATTCCACTTCACCAATTTGGACTATTTTGTGTATGTCCATTACATGAAAGCCAAATGAAAATCCATTTAAATTACAGGTTGTAATCCAACAAAATAGGAAAAACGCCAAGGGGTCGAATACTTTTGCAAGTCACTGTAAGCACATTTCAGTTGACAATGAAAACGTTAAAAATTATGTTTTATTTTTGCTTACACATTTGCAATTTCTACAACCAAAGTTTATGACAAAATACAGAAATTAGGGTTATCAATAAAATGAGCTGTGACCTACAATACTTCCTCCTAGATATCCAGAGACAGAGGAGAGCAAATGGGTGAAACAGTTTAAAAAGTGCAGGCTAAAAAATATTTTAAAATCTTGAAAAATGTCCATTCCAATATTTCTGGGTTACAGAATATGAGCTAAGCAGATGAGTTTGTATATTTGAATATTTTTTTCAGTGTCTCAGTCATTCTCTTGAACAAAAAGGGAGAGACATAACAAATCAGAATTTCAATTAATTTCATTTTACAGATACCTCAGAGACATAGATAAAACTGAGATTTAGTCCTCAAAAAAATGGTGAGCTCTGAACATTTATGAAGTGTGTGTGTGTGTGTATGTGGGTGGGTATTAGGGAGGAGGCAGGGGGTGGAAAATGGAGAACATCTGTCTGTAAAACACCACTCATCAGGTGTTATGTGCAGACCATGACTGAACATAATTTAAATAACTAGTTTATGGAAAATAATGTATCTTAATTCAAATATGTTTTATAAGCAGTTCTGCACATACAGTTCAGTATCTGACTAGAGAAAAACAAAAACAATCAGAAGTACTGGCAATGCTTCACTTACACAGTACATTCATTTATCTCAGGTCAACCACGTCAAGTTGACTGTCATGATGTATGTCCTTTCATGTGCATGATAGCATTGTGCAACACAATGCATGTACAGTTTTAAGTTAAGAGTTGCCAAAACATTTCCTATCAGCTTTTCTAACCATCAAAGAAGAGATTGAAAGTCAGAGGGCATTCACATGGACTTGTCAATCATCCCTAACCTCCTAGAGGAGGTATTACTGCTGGCAGTGAGGTGCATTGTGGGGAGTAATGTCCCTCAGAGATTCAGCATACAGGTCTATTAAGGCCAAATGAATCTACCAGTTTCCTATTCCGACTCAATTTCTCTCTTTGGATTGACCCTGTCCTTCAAGAAGTAGGAATGTTTTCTACAAATTACAGAAATAATGCATAAAGACAACAGGAGAGTTTCAATCCAACTGCAATAGTCTTCTATCCTGCCATCATAGATTTCATCATCATCTATTTACTCCATTTAATGGAGGGTAATAATAACAAGAATCATATTTTTCATCTTCTTTCTACCATACAGCTATTCATTATCAGCATAACCACATCTTAACACATGTAGAATTGTGTGTTAGTAGTGGTATTTTCTTTAAACCACAAGGAGAGAAAGGAAAAATAAAGGAGGAGAAACAAAGAGGGTACACACCTCCCCTTCCAGCTACTCCTCTATTCCCTACACATCCCCTCTATTTCACCTCTTTCCTCCCCACTACTCTCCTCCAGCACAATTCCTCCCTCTCTCATCCTTAGCCAAGTGCCCCCCTGCTCCTCAGGCAAAGAAGACCACAAAGACGATGAAGAAGACTATGAGGACAAGGAAGATTTTGACCATGAGCCAGCGGTTGGATGAGACAGACTGAAAGTACTTGAGGATCTCTGAGTGTGCCATGTCCACGTTGAGCTGGGTGTCCTCCACGTTGCCATCAATTCTACATGAAAGAGGATGGGAAATGGAAGGTCAATGAGTGTCAGAGGTTTCATTAGCCTGCTTACCACTGCACGCCCTGTCTGATCACAGCTGGATATGTGATCCCAACAAAACAACCATGTTATATCAGGGACAAAGCATCTTAACCAGTGGCTTGATAATCTCTGTCTACCTCACCTCTGCACTGTCTCCTCCTGCTCTTTCACCATGTGGGCCAGCTGCTGGAAGATGGAGCCCAGCTCTACGATGGTGGTCTCTATGTTCTGCATGGTGTCTGAACGGCTCTGGATGTACGAGTCCTATACAAACACACCATAAGAGTGACACCACTTAGCATGAATGACAATTATTAAGCAACAAACAGTATTATTGATTTACACATTAATGCCAATTATTAAGCAACAAACAGTATTATTGATTTATACATGAATGCCAATTATTAAGCAACAAACAGTATTACTGATTTTCTCATGAATCAAGAAACAAGTCTCAGTCAATAAAAATTATTTGTATTGAAAGAGGACAGTCAGTCAAGTGTGCTTTAAATGTCATGGGCTTTGTCACCATCATTATAATGATTCTCATCATCAAGAGGATTGGAGGTAATACCTGTTCATTGACAAGCTGCAGCTGTTGGCTGGCACGGATGTCCATGTCTATTGAGACATCAGCTGTCCTTTTTGAGTCGTCCTGCATTAACAATGAGTTACCTACAAGAGAGAGTAGGGGGGGGGGGGGGGGGGGGGGGGGGCGAGAGAGAGAGAGTGAGAGAGAGAGAGATCAAGAGAGGTCAGGTTGTACTATTTAGTGTTTGTTTTGTACTGTGGAGCTGATAAGAGTTTGTCTCACCGAAGTTGCTGGCATGTAGATGGGAGGAGGATGCTGGGGCTTGAGAAAATTGATCTCTTCTACTCTTCTGCTCTTTGAGGTTCTGCAGAGGTTCAACAAATATACATGGAACATCAAATCAGAACTAGTCTGGTCAAAATATTTACTGTGAAAAGATGTGTGTCTGTCTGCCTTACCTCTGTCCTGACCTCCAGCACTGACTTGAAGTCGTTTGACATTGATGCCAGTTTTGACTAGAAGAGAAAAAGGGCAATTATAAAATGAATGCTACATGGAAAAGTTACATGTACTATTCTACATTGGATAAAACCAGTAGACATATCAGAATGTCAGAACAATGGAAGTTACCTGGAGGGAAACAACGATGGTGTTGGAATGTGTCTGTAGATGTTTGCCATTCTGACTCTGTCTGGAGCGCACAAACCCCTGCAGCTGTGCTATCTGTTTATTCAGACTGTTAATGTCCTGGACAAAGAAAAGAAAAACAGACAGTTTGCTTTTACTTTCACATCCCAACAGGCATCTAATAAAGTGTGCCTGAATAGCATTCTGTACATTTAAACGCTGTAGAGTAACAACATAGTATAATGGCTGAATCTACTATATGTCTCTCCTCACCTGTTTAACGATGTAGGTTAACTCCTCAATCTCCACAGCTTTGTCATCAAAGAGGGATTTCCTTCTGGCAACTAGACAAGATAATAGTCAGTGAGTTCCATATCCACCAACACATTGTGGACACATAAAAAATTAAACTTTAAAAAGTTGCTTCCTTACGTATTGTGAGTTTTTCCAGTTTAGCGAAAGTGTTACTCAAGTCCTTCCCAATCCTCCTGTTAAATAGAAAGAAACATAACAAACAGTTCAGTATATGGATACCAATACAGGGCTATACATAAAATGTATCTGTTCTCATAATCATCTATTATTCTCATTCAATAACATGTCAATAACACAGTGTAATGCTACTAACTTTGCCATGAGGGTAAAGTCACTGTGCTGTCTGATTGCACTGAGGGCTGGCTTGCTGGACTGGACCCCATTCTGCAGAAAACAAAAAGAACAAGGAACATCAATCAACATTGATCAGTGTGCAACTGACAAGCACAACTATTTTGGTGAAGATAGAGAATGTTATGATTCGACAGTTGATGCTAGTTCAGAACATACATAATAATAATAATAATAATAAATCAGAATGGTGCTAAAAATCATCTCTCCATGGTGCTAATCTGTCACATCTATTTTGGTGAAGCTAGTTGATACTAATTCAGAAATACATACATATTATTAAAAGACATATGGTCTCTCCATGTTGCTCATTTGTCTCTGACTCACCTGTCTCCCCTGTAGTGACCTGCAGACTGACTGGAACTCATTGGTGCGGTCCCTGCCCGACATGTTGCTTATGTCCACCAGTGGGGCATGTGTTGGTGGACTGGGGCCTGTGAGTTGTGGGTCCTGCAGCTGGATCAGCGGTGACTGGGTCTGGGCAGGCCCTAGGTACACGCCTTCCTGGCTGCTCCTAGGACCGTGGCGACGACGCGTGTTCATGGATGCTCAGGCACATCACCTGCTGGAGGAAACACAGTCCCATTTCAGCCGTCTTTGCTTGACTCCAGTAAGAATACTGTTAAAGATCCATTAAAAATAATTGTAGAGCCAAGATGACAAGCTCCTCAAAAACTGTCCCGGGAAGCCCTAGGTCTGAAATGAGACAGTAGCTATTAGGCTGTCAACAAGGAGGTCGTTTCACTTGAGTTCTTGAGGATAGGACAAAAGGATAGGATAAAGCCCCCAGACCAACTGGTGCAAATATATACAGACACTCTGCAAAGAAAGCAAAAGAGACACTTCCTCTTTAACAACTTTCTGGGTTTGAGTGTTGCAATCAATACACTGATAGACTAGTCTACTAGACTCTTCTCAAAGACTGACTTGTTTTCTCTTGTTTACCAAAGGATAAAAGAACAGAGTAGTCAATAAAAAATGTGATAACCAATGTGTGAGGTAAGTAACTGTTAGGTAAAACCGTTTTTCCTTAGCCACCACCAAATCCTGATTCCCAGAAAAAGCATAATGTACTGTGCCCAATTGTAAACATGCTAATAGCTAGAATGACCCATAGCTAAATTCAATCATTACAGTCAGTGGGTTTAATCACAAGTCAACCAAAAAAAATGTGCTTGCTTAAAAAGATCTACAAAGCCCAGGTCTGCAAAATAGAATAATCCAACAAATCCAGATTACAATTTATTGATTGATTTTTGCTGGTTGAGGTAATTTACTAGCCGTTTATCCACTGAAGGCTGTGAACATGTTTGATTGTTAGTTCATCTGATTGGCCAAACAGTCCAAAACAGTTCAGGCTACTCTCAGAATCCAGTAAAGTATATTATCTAGGACAAGCGGCATCAATATTTATAAATAATGTTAGACATATGTAGGTGAGTCTAGGTAACTAACTAGCACTAAAATAAGAAGGAATGGTTGTGTGGATTGTGAGTAAACGGCAAATGGCCCAGTTCGTTTCACATGGCCCGGTGCCCCGGGTGGGTGGAAGTTTCACTTAATAACCAATGGAATGGTCTAAAATGTGCCAACCTGCACACCCGGGGCATCGGGCCATGCAAAACGAACCCGCCCAATATTGTCACAACAAGCCTGATGCTATTAGTAGCTAGCATTCTGGCTTCCAAAGCCTAACGTTTGTTGTAAAACATTGGCACGACAAAAACAGAGTGGATACATGACTAAGCAAGTGTTATCAGGATATATTTTCGAGACATAATCAAGTTTCAAATACCAACAATCTCTTACCGGTAAATAAATACTTTTTTATCTTTCTTATTTGATCACTCCACTGCTTACGAAGGATCCGGGTCCTTCCGCTAAACGCTGACGTCAGCGCCACGTATACGTCCACTTTAGCGCATTACGTTGTAAGGGTGCCCAGTTGGACCAGTCATTCATCATGCATGGTTTATCTGTAGATCCCAAACACATTTGCAGAGAATAGCCCTTATGAGAATTCAGCCTAAACTCATACATGTGAACATCTGCTAACCATGTATGTGACCAATACATTTGATTTCAATAATTCTGTACTGGCTTGGATATTTTATTTTCACATTATCAAATGGTGGATGTAACCAGGACCTTTGCTTTGTAGGTTGAATGGCTCAGATCAGTAGTGTGAAATGTCAGTGTGATGATGTTGTCAGTGTATGGACTGGTCACAGGTCATAGAGGTGATTAACACCAGAGAAAAAGGTGGAGAAATAGGGCTTGATCGACATTGCAGCCGACAGCCAATTGACTGGTCTACAAACCACCTTGCATCATAAATAACTACTTACTTTAATTTGTAGATCAGTCTGTCACAATTTACCCACAATGCATCATGTATTTGATGCTCTCGAACACAGCTAGTCTTGAAAATTGACTTGTTCGACATTGCAGACAACTGCCGACAGACTGATCTACAAAGAACCTTGTGTCATAAATAACTACTCATAATTTGATCAGTAAGTCAGTCACAATTTACCCATGAATCATTATACATTACAGTTTTGATCCTCTAGAACAGGGCCATTGACAAAGAAAGAGGGACAGGGAATGGACAGCAGACCAATTACTCCACATATTGAAAAGTAAGAATTTACACATGATACTATCAACAACAAAAAAACAGAACAGCAATGACATTTAGTATTTTATTGATAATTGTAGGGTTGTTGTAACAGGTGAGAAGAAGCATATTGTTTACTTTCTTCATTACACTAAATGAAATATTATGGAAAACATTTGTGTAGTTTGTATATACACTACCAGTCAAAGGTTTGGACACACCTACTCATTCAAGTTTTTTTTTTTTTTTTTTTGTATATACTTTTTTTGGTTACTACATGATTCCATGTGTTATTTCATAGTTTTGATGTCTTCACTAGTATTCTACAATGTAGAAAATAGCAAAAATAAAGAAAAACCCTTGAATGAGTAGGTGTCCAAACTTGACTGTTACTGTACATTAACATGGAGTTCCACCCAGGTTCTAAACATCAGCCAGTGTGTTCGTGTGCAGTCACAGGTTCTTGATCTTAATGATCAATATGAAATTGAGGCTTTCAGACAGCATCCCTTTTGAATCTGAAATCCTGCCTATAATTCCTTCATACAACAGGCCAGCTCATCCAAAGACCTAATTATGAGGCTTCCTTAAACATTAGCCTAGTATCGCGACCTTTAAGCAAAAGATTGTGTAAAAAATAACTACAAGGTGAGGTCATTTTAAAATCTAGCTTTAAAAGAAACCAAACAAAAAAACAAACAGTTGTAAAAACTTGTATTACTAGTTCAACTAAATGAAAAAGGTTGATGAAAGCCTGGGATGGCTACCACAGGTGTTAAAGGTTTAATCCCTGTCCATTACATACTGAGGATGAACATCATATTGGTCAATATATTGTGTTGTCATATCAAAAGAAAAGAAAGCTATGGAATGCAGGTTATACATTAAACTAATAACATTGCTGGTGATGTTTTTCCTTTTCTGCAGAACAGACTTTGGGACTTTAACCCAAGGTTTATAGTCATCTAAGTATTCATCAACAAAACATAATTGTTGTCCCAAGCAGCTGTTGTGATGGCGAGAAACCCAAAAGATATCAGTTCCCAAACCTCAAACTGATCAGAACAGCTTGATCATGCTTTCTCTGGATTTTCCAACTCCAATCCATTTCACTGCAAGTAAAACCAAATTCACAGTGAATATATGATCATCAATTATTAAAACAAGGTTGGTTTTAGTAATCACCATAAATACTTGTTTCTTGACTAACCTGGCACTTGCAAGAAGTCCTCGATGAAGCGGATGTAGCTCTGTGCCTGAGAAGGCAGCTCCTCAAAGCACCGCACATCCTCAGTGCTGCAGCACCATCCAGGTAGCGTCTCATACTTCACTGACACCCGCGTCAGCACGTCCATATTGGCTACAGCGGGAGACACAGGGAATAAGATGCGAGCCAGCGTGCAGGGCAAGCCAAATCAAGTGTGTAATGGTAAAGTTAAAGGAGGAACTGTATAAGATAATTCCTCCTAGACAGGGAGAAACTTACCAGGAAAACTGGGAAGGGGCTCGTCATCAACAGTGTAGGCCACACCCACTTTGATTTCTGGCAGCGTGTCGAGGATGTCAAGCTTGGTCAGAGCGATGCTGTCGGAGAGGAACAGTGGTGTCAAACACTTATGGAATAGGTGGACAGCCACTGAACATAGTGGAGGCACACACAAGTACAAGAGACTGTACACTGTGATCCAATAATTACAATGCATACAGTATGGAACACATCCAGAAAGGAGGAAAGACTTACGCTGTGAAGCCGTTGACCATGTGGGCGTATCTGACAAGGATCAGGTCCAGCCAGCCACAGCGGCGCCGCCGGCCCGTTGTCACACCAAACTCCCTCCCTCTGGACTGCAACAAGTTGCCAACCTCCTGTACCACAACCAACACAGCAGTCAGATCTAGGATTCACTATAAACAATGTAAATACGAAGTACTGGAAGAGACAGTTCCTAGACAGTAGGTTTACACCGCTACAAATTCATACTGTATGACGTAAGAACAATTATGCAAAACACAAACCCTATCCACTCACATTGTCCTGCTCAGTGGGGAAAGCGCCAACACCCACCCGGGTGGTGTAAGCCTTGACCACACCATACACCCTCCCCACATGGGACGGGGGCACACCCAGGCCAGTGCACACCCCCCCAGCAGTGCAGTTAGAGGACGTCACAAACGGGTAGGTGCCTGAAAAGGACAAATTATTATTTGATTTTCTTCTAATTATATTCCAATGGCCATCACTAAATAGCAGAGTAGCATAATAATGTACCCCCCTCAACCCCTTCTGTTCTCACCAAAGTCAATATCCAGGAGGGCTGCATTGGCTCCCTCCACCAGAATCTTCTTGCTGGGCCCAGTGAGGGCCTTGTGCATGAAGTACACCCCATCGGTCACAAGGGGGCGCAACCTCTCAGCATACAGCTTGAAAAGAGCGAGAAAAAGAAATCAGTGACCACCCACAGTACAGAGAAACATCTCAGCATCTTAGGTTTTCCAGCTCCCCCTGAAAGACTAACAAGAAATGTTCTGCATGGAATCAGCTCAATTGAGACAGTAATTACCTGTATAGAGAACAGGATCACATTCATTGGGCACAAACAAGAGATAACTGGACTAGCATCCATTTACATTTTAGTCATTTAGCAGACGCTCTTATCCAGAGCGACTTACAGGAGCAATTAGGGTTAAGTGCCTTGCTCAAGGGCACATCGACAGATTTTTCACCTAGTTGGCTCGGGGATTAGAACCAGCGACCTTTCGGTTACTGGCACTATGCTCTTAACCACTAAGCTACCTGCCGCCCCATCCCTGACTGCAATGTGGGCAAGTGATTATGGCTCAGAACAAAGATTTAAACAAATGAAGCAATTTATATACACACACACATACATTTGATATACACTACCAGTCACACCTACTCATTCAAGGGTTAAGCTTTATTTTTTACTATTTTGTACATTAATAGTTTAGACATCAAAACTATGAAATCAAAATATATTTTGAATTTTTCAAATTGCCTTGACAGCTTTGCACACTCTTGGCATTCTCTCAACCAGCTTCATGAGGTTGTCACCAAGAATGCATTTCAAGTAACAGGTGTGCCTTAAGTTAATTTGTTGATTGTATTTCCTTCTTAATGCATTTGAGCCAATCAGTTGTGTTGTGACAAGGTAGGGAGTGTATACAGAAGATAGCCCTATTTGGTAAAAGACCAAGTCCATATTATGGCAAGAACAGCTCAAATAAGCAAAGAGAAACGACAGTCCATCATTACTTTAAGACATGAAGGTCAGTCAATACGGAACATTTAAAGAACTTTGAAAGTTTCTTCAAGTGCAGTCGCAAAAACCATCAAGCGCTATGATGAAACTGGCTCTCATGAGGACCGCCACAGGAATGGAAGACCCAGAGTTACCTCTGCTGCAGAGGATAAGTTCATTAGAGTTACCAGCCTCAGAAATTGCAGCCCAAATAAATGCTTCAGAGTTCAAGTCACAGACACATCTCAACATCAACTGTTCAGAGGAGACTGTGTGAATCAGGCCTTCATGGTCGAATTGCTGCAAAGAAACCACTACTAAAGGTCACCAATAAGAAGAAGAGACCTGCTTGGGCCAAGAAACACGAGCAATGGACATTAGACCAGTGGAAATGTGTCCTTTGGTCTGGAGTCCAAATTGGAGATTTTTGGTTCCAACTGCCATGTTTTTGTGAGACGCGGTGTGGGTGAACGGATTATCTCTGCATGTGTGGTTCCCACCGTAAAGCATGGAGGAGGAAGTGTTATGGTGTGGGGGTACTTTGCTGGTGACACTGTCTGATTTATTTAGAATTCAAGGCACACTGAACCAGCATGGCTACCACAGCATTCTGCAGCGATACGCCATCCCATCTGGTTTGGGCTTAGTGGGACTATCATTTGTTTTTCAACAGGACAATGACCCAACACACCTCCAGGCTGTGCAAGGGCTATTTTACCAAGAAGGAGAGTGATGAGTGCTGCATCAGATGACCTGGCCTCCACAAACCCCACGACCTCAAACCAATTGAGATGGTTTGGGATGAGTCAGATGGCAGAGTGAAGGAAAAGCAGCCAACAAGTGCTCAGCATATGTGGGAACTCCTTCAAGACAGTTGGAAAAGCATTCCAGGTGAAGCTGGTTGAGAGAATGCCAAGAGTGTGCAAAGCTGTCATCAAGTCAAAGGGTGGCTATTTGAAGAATCTCATAAAATATGTTTTGATCTGTTTAACACTTTTTTGGTTCCTACATGATTCCATGTGTTATTTCATAGTTTTGATGTCTTCACTATTATTCTACAATGTAGAAAATAGTTTTAAAAAATAAAGAAAAACCCTGGAATGAGTAGGTGTGTCCAAACTTTTGACTGGTACTGTATATTAGGACTTTAAAGCAGTATTCTTTTCACCTTAAGTTGTTGCAGCTCACTGTCAATGTCAACATTGAGGTTGGGGTACATAGTAAGGAAATGCTCTGCCAACACACGGAACCTGTGGATGAAGAAAAGGACATCAGCTATCAATCAACATCAATGACTTTAATGATCAATAATAAAGTTAAGGATCGAAAGCATATTTCAGTTAACATGCATTCTTAAAAAACACAATTTTGGTACCAACTTCTCCTCAAAGACAGTAAAATCAGACACAAGGTCACAGACTCTCAGTCCATTGCGAGCAGCTTTGGAAGAATAGGCAGGTCCAATGCCCTTTTTGGTGGTTCCCAAACTGGAAAACAAAAAACAGAGAGTGGACATTCAGGAATGACACAGCTAAAATTAAACACTGCCTTGGCAGTAGCCCTAAAAAGGCTACCATGACTTCAATTTTTGTTGTTGTTGCTGCATTCAATTTCACCATATTGTGAAATGAGGAACAGGGTGTTGTCTTCATAAAGATTCTCATAGATAAGCACTCCTACTCAGACGCTTCATGAACACGGAACCAGAGTCACCATCACTTCCTCATACAATAAAACCTACGCACTTCTTTCCTGCCTGTTGCTGTCTCTGTTGTTCCTGGATCCCATCAACAGCTTGGTGGAAGTTGAACACTAAGAGCAGATATGGCAAAAAAATAGAAAAACATAAATTCATAGAATTGCAAGACACTAAACCATAGATTTGTAAAACATACAACCGAGTCTTACCAATGTGTGCACGGTCAGATATCTTTAACCGCTTCTCCCATCCTTGCAGTCCTGGACAAAGACAAATAGCAGGTCAAGTGTTATCAGTAGAATCCACTTCATCGTCCTTTACCCTTTTATCGCCATCATATTTCCTGCAAGCCTCTTCTATTGCCAATAATCACCTTTGCCTTTCTGCAGGTTCTTTTCAGCCTCCTCGAAGAGGCCAGGCAGGTGTATCACAACCCCGTTCCCTGTGGATGAGCAGTTCAGTTATGGATGATTTGAATAGGAAACCAAACCAGTGAAAGCAGCATTGAGGCTGGAGTGAGAGGGTCAACCCACCAATAAATGAGACAGCCTTCTTGTTGAGCACTCCACTGGGCAGCAAGTGGAAGTCATACTCCACAGAGTCCACCACCACTGTGTGGCCTGCGTTGTTGCCTCCCTGAAAGAGACATTTACATAAACACCAAGAGAAGGAGCAGCAAGGGAGCCCAGCCTGCAGTGGTGTAGTGGAGGGTAAAAAAAAATGTTGCACCACCTTTTGAGGAAAAATGCATTTAAAGTACAGGGAGCATTCATTTGTTTTACTGCGACCAGTGATCAGAGTTGATTAACTTTTTTTTTTTTACTACATCACTGAACACAGGCAAATTATTTTAATAAGTAACTACCAGTTAACTGGTAGAGCTTTGTTTCAACAATTATAAAACTCCAGTTTAGTACAAAATACGGACACGTGTTTGTGTAGTTCACAGGAGACAAAGGTTTATCACTCACCAGCAACGTTCTAATGCCTTGGGCTTCTCTGTGCTGCACTGAACTGAACTGCAAGCAGCCACTGACATTATCCAACTTGACTGCACATAGGGCATTGATCACAAGTTCAAAACTAGTCGAAAGAAACCAATGTAGGCAGTATTTTACCAGGGAGGCCGACAAAGGAAATCTAGCTAACTGCAATTGTTAGCTAGCTACATAACTCATTTGTTGTTGGTGGTCGTTACCAGCTACCACTAGATAGCATGCTTAACTAGCTTGCCATACTAACGTTAGCTAGTCTGTAGGCTCGCATGATAAGTTACTAAATAGCTAGCTAGTAAGCCAATTCCCGAAATATTTTATACACTAGTTAGTATTGGTTTTGCTTAGGCCTAGCCAACGCAGCCGAACAGCTGGCGTACTTTTGTTAAGTTCAAAATGCCTTGTTGGTTTGCTAGCTATTTAGCGTAGCTACGTACCTGACACCTGCATACTATGTCCGCGTCCATGGCTAGCAGGTCAACCACTTTCCCCTTTCCCTCGTCTCCCCATTGCGCACCGAGGACCACGGTTACTTTATTCCGAGGTTCCTTCGGAATCCGCAGGGACTCGACCTGTCCACTCTCCCGAGGTCGCTTGAAAGCTGGCTCTCCGTTCAAGGAGGCCGTTTCTTGGCCATTACACATTGTGCTATCTGCTGCCATGCTGCTGTGTGCTTTTCTTAAATTCCGGAAGTACAAATAGCGGGAAACGAGGTTGCCAGGGGGTGCTGACATTTCTTGCCTAACCCGCCCACAAGCCCTGGAAACTAGCCCTTTTTCTCGCAGCAAGAGAGGAGTTGACACATTAAACCCAATAAACCCTTTTTCCATAACATAATACAGATAATTAAGAATGAATATCTACTTAACGACGTAATGATCCAAATTCGTTTTTCCATCAAAATAATACTTATTGCGAGCTAGCGTGACGTAATACATTAATTTGAATATGTTGCAAGAGAAAATATTATTCACCCTTATTAAACTCACCAGATAATTTTCCATCAATGGAAGTCGATTTAACTCGTTTGAATGCTATGATTATAAATAGATCCCTTTTGGCATGTACGTAACTAAATCCGATTTAGAGGTACAATTGCTTTTGTTGTCCAATAGCCTGCAGGAATAGGCTACTGAGGATGGGGCCTTAATTTCAATCACTGAACAAATATTAATAATATGGATATGAACTGAATATTCTTGAAAACATAAGCCAGTTTATTTTTTATTTTTTTACCTGTAGCCTAATCTTACTGATTTTTACCGTAAATCTAATGCGTTCTAACAACAGCTGGCAATTGCGATATAGCTGTGACCATGATCACAATTGATAACTTCCAATTGTATTAACTAAACAAACATGACCATTAATAATTGCATAATAGCACAAGGCTACAACAACAATATACTGAAGTTATAGGCTATTTATTGAATCCGTTTGCCAGCTCCACAAGTGGCACAAATTGATTTGCAATGACTCCAGAGATATCATAATTTCAACATATGTATTATATCAAATGGTAGGCTACAGTAGCCTACAATGGCATAGAAATGAATAGGCTACTTGTAGGCCAACATATGCACATGTACCATTCTCCACATTTAATGTCAGTTTCATTGTGGACTTTTCCCCATAACAGAAGCATGCGAGGGAGTTCAATAGATTCCATTTCAAATGTCCATTTGCGCAGCGCTCGAACAGAGCATGCGTAAAACCCATCGCTAGATACGATTTCCCATAAGTAAAGTCGACATTAGAATGCAGTTTAAATCACCGCCAACCGAATTCATCTAATGCGCCTAAAGTTGTTTTCCAGTGCTTTGTCTCTGTTATTTCTTGATTATGTCAGAAACAGCCTGTCAGCAGCAGCAGATCACATTGAAATATATTTTTTGAAATGCCATGGCGGCCTCGGTGCAACATAGAAGTAGCCCAAAAACCCGCAACCAAAACATTTAAACCTGTGACATCGATTCCAAATTAGCACAATTTTCTGGAATCCTGCATATCAGTTGAAGCAGGCACCAAACTAGTGGTGCGCGGGTCAGCTGTTTGTTCACCCGCACCCCCCTACAATTGGTAATAATAACCCATCCCCAACCGCCCGACTAGGCCTATATGTGATAAAGTGAACATTTGAGGCCCGACCCTACCCTGCAAATAGCCTATAGAAAATAGGCTGTAGGCTACACAGGTGTGTCATGCACCCCAAAAATCTGATGGGGCTCAAAGTATGTGAGTATGGCTGGGGGTGCATTTTTCAAACACCTGAAACAGCTTTTTACTGCAATCTAGAACCATCATCAGAATTTATTTTTCTGCATATCTAAGTACAGGCTCTTGAGCTGTATGTATCCTCCTGATTGGTGGTCATTTTTTAAAGAAACGAAATATGCTTCTCTGCATCTCTGCTAAAATCTGGGTAAACAATTGAAAGGAATGTGAGTGAGTCTTATTCAGTACATTTAGTAATTACTTGCTTTTCTAAAGTCTATCAAACTTGCCAGCAGGCAGGACAGCTAAGATAGCTAGACAAGTTAGCTACTCTAACTTGATTGATAGCCTGAAATGGTTTCTTGGTTGCAAGTTGAGGTTGGGAGATTGGGAACCTATCTGGGCTAGCTAAAGCCTACTTCATAAAATTGTAGCTGGCTAGTAGTACTACAGAGAAACAACAAAAAATGTAACAAAAATAATATATATATATATATATATATATATATATATATATACACACAGTGGGGAGAACAAGTATTTGATACACTGTCGATTTTGTAGGTTTTCCTACTTACAAAGCATGTAGAGGTCTGTAAATGTTATCATAGGTACACTTCAACTGTGAGAGATGGAATCTAAAACAAAAATCCAGAAAATCACATTGTATGATTTTTAAGTAATTAATTAGCATTTTATTGCATGACATAAGTATTTGATCACCTACCAACCAGTAAGAATTCCGGCTCTCACAGACCTGTTAGTTTTTCTTTAAGAAGCCCTCCTGTTCTCCACTCATTACCTGTATTAACTGCACCTGTTTGAACTCGTTACCTGTATAAAAGACACCTGTCCACACACTCAATCAAACAGACTCCAACCTCTCCACAATGGCCAAGACCAGAGAGCTGTGTAAGGACATCAGGGATAAAATTGTAGACCTGCACAAGGCTGGGATGGGCTACAGGACAATAGGCAAGCAGCTTGGTGAGAAGGCAACAACTGTTGGCGCAATTATTAGAAAATGGAAGAAGTTCAAGATGACGGTCAATCACCCTCGGTCTGGGGCTCCATGCAAGATCTCACCTCGTGGGGCATCAATGATCATGAGGAAGGTGAGGGATCAGCCCAGAACTACATGGCAGGACCTGGTCAATGACCTGAAGAGAGCTGGGACCACAGTCTCAAAGAAAACCATTAGTAACACACTACGCCGTCATGGATTAAAATCCTGCAGCACACGCAAGGTTCCCCTGCTCAAGCCAGCGCATGTCCAGGCCCGTCCGAAGTTTGCCAATGACCATCTGGATGATCCAGAGGAGGAATGGGAGAAGGTCATGTGGTCTGATGAGACAAAAATAGAGCTTTTTGGTCTAAACTTCACTCGCCGTGTTTGGAGGAAGAAGAAGGATGAGTACAACCCCAAGAACACCATCCCAACTGTGGATCATTTTTGGGGGGGTTTTTCTAACAAAAGCCCAAAAAAAAAAAAAAAAATTTTTTAAATTTAACCAAAGGGGGGAAAGTTTTTTGGAAAAATCTTTAAAAAAAAACCAGAAAAATCCCCACGGGTAGAAAAAAAAAAAAATTTTTTTTTAAAAAAAATTTTTTGATGAAAAAGATTTTGATAACCAACCAAGAAGAAAATTCCGGCTTAAAGGAAAAAAAAAAGGGGGGAAAACCCTTTTTTTTAAACTCCCAAAACTTTTTTAAAAACCCCTTTTGGCCCACAATCCAAAAAAAAACCCAAAAAATTCCCAACCCCCCCCCCAAAAAAATTTTAAAACAAAAAAAAAATTTCCCAAAAGGGCTGGGGGGGAAAGGGACTGGGCAACAGGGGAAAAGGAAAAACCCAAATTTAAAAAAAATTTTAAAACCCCCAATTTTTTCCTGGGGCTAAAGTTTCCCCCCCCCTTTAAATTTTTGGGGGGTGGGGGAAAAGCCCCTTTGGGGGGCCCCTGGGGTAATATTTGGGAAACGGGGCCCAATTTCCCTCAAGAAAACCTTTCAAAAAATTGGATTAAAATGCAGCACAGAAGGTTTTCCCCTTTCAGAGCCCCCGGGCCCCCCGTCCAAATTTGTTTTTTTTGACCGGGGGAAAGGGGGGGAAAAGGGCCCCTTTTTGGGGTTGTGAGAAAAAATAAGCTTTTTTTGGGGGGTAAAATTTCCTCCCCCCTTTGGTTTAAAAAAGGTTTTTTTAAAAAAAACCCACCCCAACCCAAGAGGAGGTAAACACTTTCTTCATTTTTTCCCAAAAAGGGGGAAAAAGGGGGGGAAAGAAAGGGGGGGAAAATCTTTAAAATCGGGGAAAAATTTTGGCCAAAAACCCCCCCTTTTCCCCCTATAAACTTAAAGGGGGGGGTTTTTTTTGGGTTTTTTCCAATGCAACCAACCCCAAAACCCCAAAACCAACAAGGGGTTTAAGCTTAAAACCTGGATTAAGTTTTCCAGACCTGAACCCAAAAAAAAAACCCCTTTGGGGGGGTGGTCCGTTTACGCCCCCCCCCCAAAATTTGGGCTAAAAAGGGCGGGGGGGGTGGGAAAACCCTGCGCTTTTGGGAAAATTTAAAGATAAAAACCCCTTTTTTTGAGGGCCGGTTTTCTTTTCCCTTTTAAAGCGCCTTTTTCCCCATGTAAAAATACTTTGCATAAAAAATTAATTTATTTAAATATTGTTTTTTTTAGTTATTCTTTAATTTAATTTTTTTTTTTAAAACCCTATAAATAAAAATTAAAAATCAATTTTTGAATGGGAAAACCCCAAAAGGGAATTAAATAAAAATTTTTTTCCCCCCCCCACCAAAGGGGGGGGCCCCCCAAAAAAATTCCCCAGGGGGGGCAATTTTCTATTTTTACCTAAAACACTAGGTTTCCTGACCTTCCAGAAACTTTTTTTCCCCTTTAAAATCCCTTTAAAAAACCCTACCACCCCCCCAAATTCCCTTTTAAACCCCCCGTAATTGTTTTTTAAAAATCCAAGGTAAAAAAATTGGGGCCCCCGGGAAGAAAAAACCAAAAAGGAACGTTTTCCCAAATTTCCTCAAAGAAATTTTTTAAAAGAGGGGGGAAAAAAATTTTTTCCCCTAAGAAGGCCTCCCTTTTTTCCAAAAAAAAGCCCCAAAAAGAAAAAAACCCACAAACAAAACAAAAAAAAAAAAAAAAATTAAGGGAAATTTTTACCTTGGAAAGAACAAACAAAAAAAAAAAGGAAACCCAAAGAATGTTTTCCCCTAAAAAAGGAGAAAATTTAAATTTTGAATGGAAAAATTGGGAAAGTTTTGATATTAGCCAGTGAAAAAGCCTTCAAAATTTAAAACCCCCCCAGGCCCCCCGGGCCCTTAAAGAAAGGGGAGGCACACCCAAAAAAAAATAGGGCCCTAGCCCCCTTCCAACCTCCTGCCAAAGAACCAAAAAACAACAACCCAAACACACCCACAAAAAAAAAAAAAAAAACCCCAAAAAACCAAAAAACAACC